CACGTCTGTCCCAACTACACCAACTTCCAGTTTGGTAAGGCCGCTTGTGTTCCCCTAGGACTTCATGTATCCATCTTGACGGTTCTTGTAGCAGATCACTAGGTTGATGTTGTGTCTTTGAGATGATATACAATATAATGAATCATCAGATTAATGAATCATGATTATGTTATTTTATCCAATAGACACTCAACATTTAAGCCAAGGCAGCCAAACATTTCTTTTTGACATACTTCAGACTACAGCCAATACATAAAAAGGTCCATCCTAAAGCATTTATTACTTTCTGACTCTGGGAAAGTGGGGAAAAAACGGTAAAATTCCCCCAAACTACTGGATCTCTGAACTCTCTTTAACAAAATGATAACTAATGTAACATTTTTTTACTTCCATTCTCTGAGTCTCCCCCGAAACTCCTGTCTCCCACTTTGAAAACCTCTGTTTTAGATAATTAAAGGTAGATGTGTCTGTTGTGATGTTGCTGTCTTTCTCTGCAGACACCTCCTTCATGTACATGATTGCTGGACTGTGTGTGTTGAAGTTGTATCAGAAGAGACACCCAGACATCAACGCGAGTGCTTACACTGCCTACGCCTGCCTGGCTGCCGTCATCTTCTTTTCTGTGCTGGGAGTGGTGCGTACACACACACATACAGTATACACCACCTGATGGACAAGACCCGGGTGACGTTTAACACACGCAGAAACACATAGACGTTTCTTCGTGTTTGTGACGGGTCTGTTTGCAGGTATTTGGGAAAGGAAACACCGTCTTCTGGATCGTTTTCTCAGTGATCCACATTCTGGCCACTCTCCTCCTGAGCACACAGCTGTACTACATGGGCCGATGGAGGCTGGGTAAGATCACAGCAAGAAACATGAAATCTCCTGTTTTAAGCCCCTGGAATCATAATGGTTCGATATTAGTGGCGGTCCATTTGACTCTGTTGTGGTTTCCTTTTATGTAATCGTTTCCCTTCTGTTGTTTTCAACCAAGTGCACACATCTGTTAATAGACATCGTGCATGATCATTTTAGAGACAATTGAATATTTAAGTCAGTGGTAACACCATGCTTTACACTAGCTCTGTTTAGCTTATCAGTTTTAATGCGTAGCGTAACAGTAGTGCTTCATGGAAATCTTCCTGATTAAATGTGTAGCAACACAATTTAACTATAATATAGGTTAATTTTTAAGTGCCACCTTGATATTTGCTGTGTGGGCTCTGTGGATTTGATCCTCACACTTTGTACTAGTGTTCGACTGCAGCTAACATCCGTCTGTATATTTGTGTCAGACTCCGGGGTCCTACGCAGGATGGTGTACATCATCTACACAGACTGCATCAGACAGTGCAGCGGACCCATGTACATAGTGAGTAATGAGCAGAAACGTCTGCATCAACATGTTTATTTGAAAGAAACAGAAGTCCAAGTTTGTTATTGTTCATATTGATGGGCTATTTTTAATCAGGTTACAAGCAGAACATTGCCATAATAGTGTCGTTGTCATATATGCTGTTAGTGTGAAACACGGTGTTTCATCTGGGTCCAAAACACGACATGACCTCTGACCCCTGATCAATATTGTGTAAAGAACATCGAGGTGTGTCAGTTAGTTAGTTCAGGATAAGATTGTGTCATTTATTATGCTTCTATGTGTATCCAGTGCTTGAATATTCAATGTCAAAGCCATCTCTGTGTCCTGCATTGATCGTCATCTTCCCCTTCTGTCTGTCTGACAGGACCGTATGGTTCTGCTCGTAATGGGGAACATAGTCAACTGGTCTCTGTAAGTAAACACAGTGTGTTTTCTGCTTTTACTTGGTGCTAAGTAGAGACATTAAAAATGTAAATTCACAGCACCAAGACTAAATGATGACATCACCTACATGCCTCTCCCTACTCCTTCTCTACAGAGCTGCCTACGGCCTCATAGAGAGACCTAACGACTTTGCCTCCTACCTTTTGGCCATCGCCATCTGCAACCTGCTGCTCTACTTTGCCTTTTACATCATTATGAAGGTGTGCGTTTGTGTGTATATCCATGTTTTTAAAGTAGAAATCTATGGGACATTTAAAGCTGTTTTACCCTGTGTGTTTGTGTGTTGTAGCTGCGGAGCGGTGAGAGAATCCAGTGTCTGGCGTTAGTGTGTATTCTGTTCACAGCCGTGGTGTGGGGTTTTGCGCTGTATTTCTTTTTCCAGGGCCTTAGCACCTGGCAGGTCAGTAACTCGCACCCCTATACTTAGTCACACAGAAAGAGCATTAGCCTTACACACCTAGTTGACTTAAATTTTTGGCGTGAGAGCACACATGGACTATTTCTCAAATGACGCCATACCTACATAATGTGACATAAGTTTAATGTGTGTGTGTTTCTCTTTCCTGACAGAAAACTCCAGCAGAATCTCGTGAGCACAACAGGGACTGCATCTTGCTTTCATTCTTTGACGACCACGACATTTGGCACTTTCTCTCCTCCATCGCCATGTTTGGATCCTTCCTGGTATGATCACGTTTGTGTATTTTAGTAAATATGAGCTCAATATATGACATTTAAATACAAAACTTAAAAGATAGTTAAAAATTGGAATCCGCAGAACAGGAAGCTCTGTGTACAAACCCCTCACCTCTCCTGTTCCCCCCCTAGGTCCTCCTGACCATGGACGACGACCTTGACACCGTCCAGAGAGACAAGATCTTCGTCTTCTAGATGTCAGATCTTCTGTGATGAGCTCATCTGGCCCTCTCTGCCTTATCGCCCTGGTCTCTCTTCATTTGCGTCTGTCATGTCCTAAAAAAAAGCACATCCAGTAGCGCGTTTTCCCCCAGGCTGTACAGTGGGCGCCTCTCACAGCCAGTCAAGCCAGTCAGGAAAGGGCAGTAGCCCCTCCCTCCACCTGTATGGACACAAATGTGCCAGTTAAGAGCTGGGTCGACGTCGAGTGACGCTGAAGTGTTTTGTCTTCTCGCTGCCACCATCGATATAACTGTTGTAATCAATGTTTACTTACTGCTGATGAAGACAGTGTACACACTTGCTATAAAAATTAACTTATTTTATACTGTCGACATTATATTTCACCTGCAAGTCAACACTGCATTTTGAAATCTGTGTGTGTGTGTGTGTGTGTGTGTGTGTGTGTGTGTGTGTGTGTGTGTGTGTGTGTGTGTTGTGTGTGGTGTGTGTGTGTGTGTGTGGTGTGTGTGTGTGTGTGTGTGCGCGCGTGTGCGTGTGTGTGCGTGCGCATGCGTGTATTGTGAGAACATGAATTCTGTCAAGTCTGTCAGTGGCCTTTAACGTTCTAATCATGTAAATCGCATACTGTGCTCTGATTGGTCAGATCTTCTAACCGTCCTTCTCATAGGAGAATAATGATTGTATTACTGACTGCCCTCAAGTCTGAATGCGAAAGGATTTTTTTTTTGTACTGTACAAAAACTGATTTTAATGTCAAACATGCAATGAGCGGTTACTGAATAAAAAGGTCTCATTTTCAAATAACTATTTTTGTAGCCAATTTCTGCACCTGCAGGTTGTTCTGTGTGAACAAATACAGAATGACAATCAGGATGTGGATAATTGTACGCATGTAATATTTTTGTAAATATTTGATTATATCATTTCATGTGACAACACTAAAGAAATACTTTGCTACAATGTAAAGCTTGTATAACAATTATTGCTTTCCCCTCAAAATAACATCACAGCCATTATTGTCTAAACCGCTGGCAACAAAAGTGAGTACAAGATATCAAATATTTACAAAAATGTGAGGGGTGTACTCACTTTTGTGAGATACTGTAAAAAGATCAGTACACACGGTATAACATGAATATTTATAAAATTATATTTATTAAAATATTTTATAGAAAAATACAGTGTTTATTTACAAACCCTACGCACACTTTTATTCCTCTTTGCTTGCACATGTTAAAAGTTCACACACTAATCAACAGCTCGCTGCCAACTGCTGTGGAATAAGGAAAAGTGATGTAAAATAAGTGGATTGACTTCACTTTTACAAAATCAGTGATTCTCACTCTACTCACTCAAAGCAAAACCAAACTGAATTATGTAAAAACACAGTTCACACACAAGTCACTTACACAGCCAGTGGCATAAATACACATGTAACCTGTCATGAAATAAAGCTTGACCTATGTGCAGCTGTAAAGCACCGTGTTACGCCCTGCCTGCAGCAGCAAATGGATTCAAGTCACATGTCTGGGAAGTTTTCAGTAAAAGAAAAAAAGTAATTACAATATTTAAACCTTTGGATACTTCTCTGTGATTATCTGTATGAAGCAGCCCTTTCCCATCCAAGTAAACTTGACCATTTAAAAAAAACAGTGTGGCCCAAGTCTGGCACAGAGCTCTAGTCTGTAAACTTGACCTTGAAGTGCTTGAAATAAGTCTCCTGTTGCTCACAGTTATATCTTATGTTGGAGGAGGAAAGTCCTCAGGCCTCAATGAACCCTGAACTGCCATGTCCTGTGCAGTCATCTCTTCCTCCAATCACAGCAGAGGAGGTCGGACTTTCCCTGAAAACCTTTGCACTGAAGGCTTGAAAAAAGTATGAATCAAAGAAGGGCGCAGGACTCTCACATGAGGCCCTGTGTGTAAACGTCACAACACGGTCATTAATAATGCAAAGTCCTCTGACTCAGTCACGATACAGCAAGACTGAACTGTGCGTCATGTCCTCAGTAATGATAGACTCTGATCTGGTTGTTATCGTCCAGGCCCAGCTGGACCAGGTTGCTCTTTGTTGGAGGAGCCTGGTAGCGAGTGAACAGAGGTCTGGGAGGCAGAGTTAAAGACGACAACAGGCACAACGCTGATTTAGAAAACTGTCTGACAAGTAATGGTGTGATTTAGACAACAGGTGGCAATAATGTGGTCATCAGACAAGTCCAAAATATAACTGAAAATAATCAATCAAATAATAATCAAAGTATAAAAACTGAAAGCTTTTTACTTTCCCAGCCAGAAAGAATTGAAATCTCGAGTGCTCTACTTATGTTGAGATGGAGATGGTAGATGATGTGGAATGTGTTAAGAGTGAGTGGATGAGTATGTGTATGTGTGATAGAAGGATACATGCTGGTGTCTTTCTTGCGCATCTCCAGCCACCTCTTGTTGCCGTCGATCAGCCCCTGCAGCCTCTGGCCGTCTACCTCCACTGACTTCTGCATGGACCGCAGGCTGCGACCATGTTCACTAAGGTACACACAGAAACGCACAGTTTTAGGATCATTGTTTAGTACATTTAATTTAAGATGGCAAGGATGTTCATGTAATCTGTAATAACAGCATGGTTAAAGGCGTATCGCAGGTTACCTAGCAGTACTGTATGATGAGTAAGCTGAGCTTGTCCTCATGGTGCTGGTGGCGATTGGGTCCATAGCTGCTCCTGGAGAACAGAACAACACTTCAGGACTGATGACAACGATAGAAACTGATAAGACCCCCCTTTTAGCAAATCTCATTATTGGTGATTAACACATTCTATGATGCATCTGTTAGCATACTGGGGAATATCTGGCTCCATCGGCTGTTGATGAGGTCCTCAGAGGCCTCAGCCCATTGCTGATGGGGTACTGAAGAAAGGAGTGGCTGCGGAGGTGCCTTGGGGTGCCCAGTTCCAGGATGGCTCTGAGAGCCTCACTGGGGGAGGTGGGGCTGAGGAGCTGGGACCCAGGGTGTGCATCTGGGGCATGACTGGGGCAGAGGTGGAGGTGGCGGAGGTGGGAGCTTGGCTGGAGTGAGGCAGATTGAAGGCTGCATAGGCTTCGGTGCTCTGCCTCTGGGCCAGTGAACCCAACGCACTCAGGACGGTGTTAAGCTGGCCTGAGATCTGCTGCAGGGACTCTGCTAGCTCCTGGACTTTGTCTGGGACAGTGGGATGACCCCCTGACGAACCAGTGAGAAAGACATGGAGAGAAACACAACTTCAGTGTGGCTGGAAAAACATAATAATCTGAGAAGAGTTTACAAAATCTGAGCAATATAGCAATAATAACAGAGTGTATGTCACATTCTTTGGTAAAACTATTAATATGTGTGACCTGTCCCATCTGGTGGCTCCGCAGTGCTGCTGAGGTCAGACTCAGTCACATCAAAGGTCACCTTCCTTTCTCTTGCCAGCCGGGACAGATCCTCAAACAGCGGCTAAACAGAGAAAGACAAACAGCAGTTAATATATAATTACAATTTGCCTGTATGCAGAGTTTAACCTGTTGATTAAATCGTAAAAAATCTGGGTAAAGTGCACAGAAAGATGCACAATTTTTAATAAAAATGAATAAATTCAAATGCCTATTCTGCATAGAAATGAGGTTTAAAGTAGTTTAGATTTGTTACACAATATATTTTGATATTGTATAATTTTTGTTTATAGCTTTGTTAAAAGCATTACTTTTCACCTCCACTTTGATTTCTTCAGCTATGACTAAAGGTTCTGCGTACCTTTGCACTGGAAATATAAAAGCACTTAACCAACGTGAAGTATCACTACTGTAAGACTGCAGATACAGACTGCTGCTGTTTTCTCCTGACCTCTTCAGCTATAGAGCTCTCTAGCTGCTGCAGCTGCTCCTCTTTCCTCCGCAGGAGAGTGTTTCCTCTCTGAACCGCCCGCTGCAGCTCCACCACATTTCTGGCCTCCTGACAGAACGAGGGAAGGTAGGCAGCACTTAACATTTTAAAATCAACCCCATCCCACCAGTCATCGCACCAATTATTATTCTGCAGGGGGTGGGTCACACTCCTCCCTACCTCCTGGATGTTTCTGATCATCTCCTCGGTCACCCCTCCTTCAAGGCTGGGGACCTGGGAGGAGCTTGTCTGAGCCGCCCACAGAGCTGCCTGCCTCTCCATCAGCCGACTGCTCTCCTTCTCCAGAAAGACTTTGGTTTTTTGGATGGATGCGCCATGTGAGGAGATGTAGCGTCGGAACCTGGACACATGGGTGCCAGGATGAGGGCTTCTTATATTTTTGCAAGCCAGCAATGGTAAGCCTGCTATCAACAGTCTATACGCTAAAATTACACGAATACATTCTCTACACGCTCCCCCCTTGGTAACATCATTTGTCGTCACACCCTGCTACCTGGCTGAAATTAAATCATGGATGCAAGAAACGTCCTTAAATAAAAGTGTGACAAATCGCCTCTTTCCCGCAGCCTCTGTTCCTCTGACACCAACGCCCTATCTTCACCAGCAAACCTTCAGCAGTACTGGACCTGAGGTGACAGGGACTTCTCCAAAGCTGCCCCCCTCCCAGCTTTCAGTAACCCATTAAAAAATAACTCCAGTAAGTGACTGACAGCTTTCTAATTCTCAGACTAATGCAAATACAAAAATGTGCTTTTATAACTCTGTTTCTATCTCCTTACTCATCCATGCTGCTGTGGCTGTCAGGTACAGGGGAGAGTGGGGGGTCATCCAGGTCTTCTACATGTAGCGGTAAGTCTTTCCTGTCACTGGAGGGGGCCGTCACCTCTGCTTTCACTGTCCTCTTTTTCTCCTGTTTAGTTTCTGGTCTGGGGGAGGCACTCACTTCTTCGCCTTGTTCCAGCTCACTGATTGGACAAGAAGTCAGACCATAATCATCAGTAATTCTATTGGGTGAAGCTGGAAGTGAAAGCATAGGCTGAGTGAATGTCCTGTGTAGGAAACAGTACCTGATTCTGCAACTGAGACGGTCGCATCTCTCCTGCAGCAGCGCCACCTTGCTCTCCAGTCGTTCCTTGCCCTCCTTGGCTCTCCTGCTCTCTTCCCTGGCTTCGTCTCTCTCCTCTCTCAGCCTTTCCCCCTCCTCCTTGGCCTCACTCCTCTCCTCCCTCGCTCTCTGGATTAGTTCTCTGGCTTGATGCTTCTCCTCTCTCATCCTCTCCAACTCCTCCTTTAGCTGATCCCTCTCCTGGATCAGCCGGGGTAAAACCTGGACACACACACACACACACACAGGTAGGGGGTTGATTGTTCATCAGAAAGTTGAATATAATCTCTCTTTTCATGACGAAAAAAGCGGGCTGCCCCACCTCTAACTGTCTGTCCACTTCGTCCTCTTCCTCCCCAAGTTTCTTCCTCCTCCTCTTCAGATCTGCTGCCTAATAAGAGACAGAAACCATTAGTCCACGTCGTTCATGTTAGTGTAATGCGATTAATAGTACATACAGAACAGTATAGAAGACCTTGGTCTGGAGTATGGCCTCCTGGCTCTTCAGCTCTTTGGCTCTCAGCTCTATCTGATCTGCGAGATCCTGCAGTTCTGACTCCTAATAGAAGAAATGAGAGATTATTTCTCTGGGATTAAGTGTTTAATATTTTAGAAAAGGCTTCCCTTCACTATACCTCAATTTGGTGAGCAAAATATGGTTTCAGTGCACATACTGGAGACATGTTTTACATTAAAACCCTCCATTTAAAAACCAAACAAACAGTGCTACCAGATTAAATGAGGACCTATGATGAGCCATAGGCTTTAGACTTTTAATGTGTAATGGCACCACACAGTTTCAGAAGTGTGTCGTTAGTTAATGTTTGTCTCTGTCTGGTCCCACCTTGCGGGAGTGTGTCAGCTGTGTCTTTTGTATCTGTGTGTCGAGCTGAAAGCGGAGTTTCTCCAGTTGGACGGCATGCGAGGCCTGGAGACGCTCTCTGTCCTCCTGCAGAGTAGAAAGCAAGCGCTCCCTCTGTGCAGTCTCCTGAAACACACAAACACGACATTTTATGATTGCCATTCTATTGCAAAATACTGCAAACTGAAAAACTGAAACCGGGAATGCAGCTCAACTTCTTAAACTAATTTCATAGATATTTCTTTACACTCAGGACAGGAGGATAATGATTCTCCAATATCAGTAACAGTAACACAGTAAATATGAAGATGCAGCCGGTTGGCTAAGCTTACCAGAAACACTAGAAACAGGGAGAAACAGCTAAGAAAATCTACCTCTAAACCTCATTAATGAGATTAACATTATATCTTGTTTGTTAAATCTGTTTAAAACCCAAGGGTAACGATGACAAGTTGTGATTTCTGCTGGAAACAAAAATATAACACACTCATCTAAATATATTCTGCTGGTTCCATTATTGCAAGCAGTTCAGAACAAGGGCATGCATCTGCTAAATGTGAAATGTAAACGCTCTCTGACCTCGTCCAGGTATTTCTCTCTGATGTTGTTCATCTCCCTCCTGTGGTCCTCCTTCAGCTGGTCCAGCTTCCTCTCGTGATCGCGCTGCACTTCCTCCCGCACTTCCTGAAGAACATCAGCCAGCTAGACAGCGAACGTGAAGACGGTTTACAGCCCAAGTTACATTCCAGTGAAAATGTATTTAAAGCCTTAACTCACATTCAGAAACAAATACACATGATGATGATGATGATGATGATGATGGTGGTGACAACTTCATTCTGTACAGAATCTATGTGTGTGTGTGTGTGTGTGTGTGTGTGTCCTCTAACCTCTCGGTGGTACTCTGCCAGTTGGTGTTCAGGTCGTGGACTTATGAGCTCCTTCCTCCTCTCTGTGACTTTGGCCTTTATACAGATAAAACAGTGCAAACACAGGGGCAGACACACATACAGAGAGATCATTATGCTGTGCCCCTCGAGACCAAAGCCACTGCGTCATCAAACTAGAACACACACAAACTCTTGGTTCTTTTGTATTTTCCAGCTGTTTACATAAATATATGTGGCACATTAACACAAAATCTGATATATTTAAACATTAACAGTCTAAATTTTAAATCCTGTAAGTGTATTTCTTTAAAAACATGTTGCTGTCCACTACACATCAGCACCAACTGTTTACTTTGAAAGTGTGTACTTAAGGCAAATATGTTAAAACACGTGATAGCAACATAATAATCATCAGAAGACTGACAGGAAACTAAAACTGGAGCTTGACTGGAGGGGGTGCCTAAAACCTGTGTAACACAACATGTAGCCACCCACAAAACCTGCCTCAGGCTGACCTTTCCCTACCTATCATAATATTAACACAGTGATTTGATGATTAAATCAAATTGAAATCAACAAAAGAGCTGGACACAAGCAGGCCGGCATCATCCACAGTCACCTCCTGTTTCAGAGAATTCAGCTTCTCCTCCCTCTCTCCGTGGAGTCTCCTCTTCTCGGCTTGCAGCTCCTCTTCCAACTCGGCTTTCACACGTTCGATGTCCTGCCTCTTCTGGGCCTCCAGTCTGTCGCGCTCCGCTACTCGTTCTTCCTCGAGAGTGATGCGTAACTCCTTCAGCATGATTTCACTCTCCTCCCTGAGCACGAGGACACACACGTCAATGTTGTTTTTGGACATTATAGGTGATTAACTGCAAAGCGATTTAAGTTCAGTTGATTGGCAAAGTTCATATTCTATATATAGATATTCAATATATAATAAGGCCACCCAATGTGATCAGACTTTGTGATCAGACTGTGATGTGGAAGATCTATATTGCAGATTTTGCCTCAATTTTTGAACTACTGCTCTAGAGCACCTTTGTTTTATGTGTTTATGTGTCTGACCTGAGTTTGTTTTGCTTCCTCTCCCTCTCCCCCTGGGCAGACTCTTTGAGTTCCTCCAGCGTCCTATCAGACTCCTCGTTCAGCCTGGCCTCTTCCTCTCTCCTTTCGTCAGGAGACGCTGCCGCAGAGCCCTGGGGAGACGCACGCACACATGCATTTATGAATTATGGAGTGGTTCTGAAAGTATGTTTTAGTAAACTGTAGGTGTTACGTTTGAGTTTAAAGGACTTCTGATAATTGTGTTACCCTCTCCGTGCCTACCTCAGTCTTTCCTCGCTCTCCTCCTTCAGCTTCCTCTCCTCCTCCTCCTCTTCTCTCCTCAGCTCCTCCCGCAGGAGACGCATTCTCTTCTCCTTCTCCTTCACCAGACGCTCCCTCTCCTCCTCCACCTCTCGATCAGCCTTCCTCCTCTCCATTTCCATCTCCTCCTTCCTCTCTCTCAGACTCCGTTCTTCTCTCTCTGCCCTCTTCCTCTCTTCCCGCTCTTCTCTCTCACTCTCTTTCTTCTCTCCGTCTTTTCGGATTCTCCAGCTTGGCTCATCTTCCAGAGAGCTCTCTTGGTTTTTTAAAGGGGATTCAGCATCTTCGAGATGGGTGTTGGCAGTGCGGACCAGCCGGCCTCTGGAGGTTTCTGGCCTCTGTAGCCCCAGCAACATGCCGAGATCTTCGGTTTTTAGTTGGAGTCTGGCACCTTGCTCTGAGTGGGACGGGCTGGAGAGGGAGGGAGAAGGGCTGGACTGGTGAAGGACGAGTCGGTCAACTTTCGGAGCTGGAGGTTTGTCTTTGCCAGCAGCCTGCAAATGTCTGAAGAGGGAGAAAGGTTTATACCAACACCAAGGTTATAAAATAGAGAAACTAGCCAAAACAAAACAACCAACCTCTTGGCAGCCTCTGCCTTCTTTGTCTTTGCCCCGTCCTCATTCTCCTCTTCTTCTTTTGTTCCCTCTTTGTCATCTTTCTTTAGTGGGCTGACAGTGCCGGAAAGGTCGTTGACGTCCAGAACCTTCTCCGACAGCTTTTGGATACAAAGTCAGAACCATTACAAAACTGGCTGACAATAAATAGTTGAATGAATGAATGGCAATGGATGGGTGTCACACTGCACAGTACCTTGACATCTATGGAGGAAGAACTCTCCTCAATGTTCTTACTGCCCTCCGACTCCTGCAATAACACACACACACACACACACTCGGTCAAACAGTCTTCATGGGTTAACAAACAAAATTGCACAAGCAACACTAAACATCGAAGCATGCTGAGGGCAAAAGCAGAGCGTGCATGCAAACACAACCAAGGCCGGAGAGCTGGCAGCCATACTGTAAAATCACACAGTCAAGCAAGCAGACTCTGAAAATGGGGGATGCGATGGCAGGAGACGGGAGTCCTGTTTTTGGTCAAATAGCTCAAAATCAACCGCCAATCTAAAAGCAGATATACTACCAAAAGCCTTCACAGGGGCAAAGGGATCAAAACTATCCAATCCAGTCCTCAGGGGCTCAAATGGACTCAAGTGGTCCTTTGACCGACTGATATTCCAGTGCGAGAGTAATGACATCCAGGCTGGGAATCACACAGACAGCCCCTAAGGCACTGGAGTTGAATTCTGGGAGCTACTTGCACCTGCTTGCAGAGATCAAGCAGGACCAGGGTGGGGTCGGGTAGTGAACGGAGGTGGGTGAGCAAGCACAGAGGCAACACCAAACCCTACCTCTGCAGGAAGGGGACATTTTTTGTCACATTCTTCCTCTTTTCAAGAGTGTTTCTCTTTTGGTCAAGCATTTTAAGGTCACGCAGCATCGTCCTCTTGCCTAGCTTGGCCCCAGTCTCAAAAACCTCGACGAGTTCCTCCTCACTGTCTGATGCAGTTCGGGGGTTCTGGGCATCTGATTCCTCCGTTTCTCCTCCTTCGCTCTGTACACATCTCTCTAACACTTCCTCATCACTCTCTGTCAGTCTCCTTTGGCTCAGGGAGCATCTCTCCAAAGCCTCCTCGCTCTCACCCTCCTCTTCCTCCTCCTCCTCCTCTGCTTGTTCCTTCTCTTGCTCTCTTTCGATATTTATCTCTACCTCCTCTTCGTCACTCTCATTCTGCTCTTCTTCTTCTTCATCGTCGTCTATGCTTCTCTCAAGCTCATCTCTTTCTTTGTCATTTTTGTCTTCCTCCTCGCTCCCTTCATCTTGATCACTTTGGAAGCATTTCTCCACAACTTCCTCGCTACCTTCCTCAAAGTCCTGTTTCCCCTCTTCTACTTGCGCCTTCTCGTTCACCTCTTCTTTCTCCTCCATTAAACTCTCCGCAGCCTCATCACTCTCCACTTTCTCTTCTCTGTCTTTGGTCTCATCCTGCTGGCTGCTTTCTACTTCCTCATCACTGCCATTTTCCTCTCTTTCAGTGCTCTCCTGCTTCTCAACATGTTCCATGTTTTCTGACACTCCACCACCCCCTTCATCTTTCTCTTCATCATCACCTGTACAGCATTCCTCCTCTACCTCGTCGCTCTCTACCTCCTCCTCTTCTTTCTTGCTTTCTATCAACCCTTTAATTCCTCCCTGCTCTTCCTCCATCTCACCCCCTCTTCTTTGCTTTTTGTCTCATCTGCTTCCTCACCCTGTGCCTCTCCCTCTTCCTGCTCATTTCCCATCTCTGCGTTCTCCTCCATCACTCCCTCTTCTGCTTCCTCTCCTCCTTCATCCCCTCCCTTCTCTCCCTGAAGATCCTCTTCTTCCAGCTCTCCTCCATCCTGCTCATTTCCCACCTCACCCTTCTCCTCCGTCCTTCCCTCTTCTGCTTCCTCTCCTCCTTCATCCCCTCCCTTCTCTCCCTGAAGATCCTCTTCTTCCAGCTCTCCTCCATCCTGCTCATTTCCCACCTCACCCTTCTCCTCCGTCCTTACCTCTTCTGCTTCCACTCCTCCTTCATCCCCTCCCTTCTCTCCCTGAACATCTTCATCTTCCAGCTCTCCTCCCTCCTGGTCACTTCCCACCTCACCCTTCTCCTCCGTCCCTTCCTCTTCTGCTTCCACTCCTCCTTCATCCTCTCCCTTCTCTCTCTGAACATCCTTGTGTTCCAACACTCCCCCCTGCTCCTCCTCTACCACCTCATTTAACTCCTCTGCTACCTCCTCTTCAGGTTCAGGGCTGATGGGACTGGCGCTCTTCACACTGACATGCTTTCTGCTGCCCACCAGCGAGGACAGGTGGAAGTGGCGGCCCCTCAAAGAGTCCTTTGTGGAGGGGAATAGGAAGACCAGTCCATCCGTCCCAAACAGAGGCACAAAGGAAGGCGTGCAGAGACACAAGGGAGAAAAAGGACGGAGGACGGCAGGTGAGGGAAGGAGGCAACAAAAATTGTGACCCCCCGCTGAAAGAAGGTGGGGGGCGATGATCTTGACACAACCGCATGCAAAACCGACAGATCGTGCATTTTTCAGGGACAAAATTACACATTTAAATTAAGCAAACATGCACGTACACATAAAACAATATACACATTTTCTTGTTCTGGGTCTCTCGCACACTCAAACACAGGGACGCACACAGGAGACGCTTTGTTTGATGATTTCCCTGTTTTAGCGTTTCTCCTCCAAAAAAGCCATAACGTGTAAAAGAAATAACTGACTCTATGCACATTAGTTCTGCTAAATCATTGGAAAATAAAGACATTACATCTTTAATTAATATGTATGTATGTAAAACATGTGTGATATTCATAATTTAGGACTGGCTTCTCAGAATCTAATGGCAGTGGTGGGGAGTTACTGTCTGAGTATCCCAATGGGGGTAAATGCATAAATCCGAGTGGAAACTGCAGTATTCATTGTTTTGAGGGTGATGACACATGCTCCTGATACATAGTTTCAGACAGCAAAGCAGTAACAGCGACAGTAGGAAGACAGCAGGACAAAGAGGAAGACACAGTAACAGCCGTGCCCATAGGACAGGTCCCAGCAGCACAGCAGCTACGAGAACACATCCCGGGTCACGGTGCAAAGGTGAGAGGTGTAAAGGTCAAAGAGGTCACACGAGAGAGAGAAAAGGAATAACAGATGGTTTAGAATCAGAGTTACATGAGACAAGAAGAAAAGTCCACTATGGTAGTGATACACTGAGAATGTGTAGGAATATTTCAACAATTAGGACTGCCCCAAACTTAAAATATCTTAGCATCTGTATCCCACATTATTATGTTCTTTTCATGAATTGATTAAACAAATACTGAAAATACAATTCAAAGTTATCAAAGGCTGCACTTGGGATCCATTTACAACACAACATACTCAAAGATAGAATACAACCTCCATGATTGTGAATATACCTCGGAGGCCAGGGTTGTGCTTCTAAAGTTCCTGTCAACTTGTGCATTATCAAGAAATGTTAGCAGATAGCTCAAAGAGTATGGTGCACAGGTGTTACATAGCGAACACAGAAATGGCAGAGCAAGCAAGAAAAACAAAAACACAGCTGGGAGCCACTGCAAAAGTGGATGATGTTGTGTGTGTGTGTGTGTGTGTTTGTACCTGTTGGGATGGTGGTTCAGGGCTGTGGTCTCCAGACAGGGCCAAGTCCTGCAACTCTGGCTCTGTCCTCTCCTCAGCTGGAGCTCCACCACTGGCTTCACTGTCCTAGAGCACACACACAGTCATGTTTCCATCACTTTCTTATCCTAGAGACTTACCTTAACCATAACCACTACTTGCCTGTCCCCAACCCTTACCCTATGTACATGTAGAGCATCTCTCTTAACATTAAGAAAACATATATATATATATATATATATATATATGTTTTTTTCCTCTTATGAGATGTTTTTATTCTGTCTACCTCATACTGTAAGCCTCCTCCAAGGGCATCCAGGTCCAGATGAAGGTTCTTCAATAATCGATCTGAACAACGGGGACTCGGCTGAAAAAGTGACAACGTCTTGTTTGTTGGGACCTAAATTATGCATTTCACAGCCATAGGCAGCTAAATAACTACTACTACTTTCAACAACTACTTTCATCATCTTATATTCATCTTGTACCGTACCTCGTTTTCTGAGATTTTCTCATTGTCACCATCATCATCATCAAAGCCAGGCAGAGAGAGAGACACCCTCTCCTCCTGCCTACTGCCCAAAACACTAGATGCTCCACTGCTCCGAGGGCCCTGACAAAGGAAGACATTAATCACAGCATGCGGTATACTGTAAGGGTTTGGAAGAGGCTACAAATTCAAAATCGTATCACATGGTCCTTCATACAGCACTAGGATCTTACCCCAAGGGGGGTTTTTAGGGGCTCCAGTCCCCCAGAGCTGCCAAGGGAACGCCGGAGAGCGGGAGCAGAACCAGGGAGTGGGCCGGGGCCTGGGGCATCTAGACCTCTCAGAGGAGCCAGGCTGCCCAGCGGGGATGCTAGTGGTCCCAAGGCTGAACTCAGTGCCTGTAGGATGAGAGGCACTGTCAGAGAGTAACCACCAAGACCTGGAATTTCCATCAACATCAGAAACGCTTAAATAAATTGCTAAAATTAGAATCCCCACTGTGTCCTTCCTCACGTGTCTTGTGTAATTTTAGTTTACTTTACCTTTGTGTGTTTTCCAGCCTGTTTGATTGTCTGCCCTGTGTGTAGTTCTCCTTCTCTCACTTGTGTATTTCTTTGTGTCATTGCCATTCGTCTTTGTACAATGTTGTCAAGCGGCCCTGCCATTTCGTTAGTGTTTGAAGCCACATAGTTTTTTTACTCCCTTCTGGATTTGTTTGCCTGTATGGACTGCTTTCCTTTTTTTGACCCATGCCTGCCTCACCTTCCTTTAGTCCTGCGTACCATTTTGATGTATTAATTAAACACCATTGAGCTGCATGTCTGCTCTGCTAGAGCTGAAGGGGGTAGAAACCCAGAGTCATGTAAATAGAAAACCCATGATCTGCCATTACTATAGTAACTGAAGAGAATATTTATTACTGAGAACTGTTTAATGTTTATTTTTTATTTGTTATATTTGTTTGTTTTGATTTACTTTTGCAACATCGTATTGTGGGCAATCATGTCAATAAAGCCAGTTGTAGCAACCATAGCGATGGAGTAGGCAACCAACGCCAGCTTCATCACCAACTAGGAGTATGGCGGAGGCTGTAGGGGAAAAACAAGCGTCCAAAGAAACTCTGTGTTCAGAGGAGGGATTGCAGTCAAAATAAGAAAGCGATCAATGGTAAGGACAAACACAATAAACACTCACTCCAGGAGTCTTGAGTGGCTCTTTTTTCTTCTTCTCTTTCTTCTCCTTCTTTTCTTTCTTCTTCTTCTTGTCTTTGTCCTTCTTTGCCCCTGTGCCTCCTGCAGCAGCAGTGAGCTGGGCGCGCTCACGTTCCTGGGCCACCAGGCTGCGGTAGTGCTCGTCGCAGGGGTGATCCCAGGTTGACTGGCCCGAGGAGAAGTTGAAATAGTAGATGTCCCCCGTTACATCCTGACTGCGGGGGAGGAGGAGGGGGGAAAGGAGGGGGGTCACTTCAGCACCTCCAAAAAGGCCCAGGAAAGGGAGGAAGAGATGATGGGTGGATGGGTGAATGGAGAGATGCGTCTTTACAAGTATAAAATCTACTTTATTATTAGTTGCATTTTCTCAAAGCATCAGATTAAAGCTGAAATATACAAAACCTATATCCCACAAATGATTACTTTATTTTTTTTCTCAATAATTCAGCCTCTGAGTCCAAAGGAACACACAGAGGACAAAAGTTGAAACCATGGAATAAACCCAATAGTGGCTTAAATTATAGCAAAAAAGGTAGGTTTAGATGCTATTAATCTTAAACAAACCCCTACTATACCTTTGGGCCCCATCCACACTATTTCGTTTTAGTTTAGGAACAGAGAATTAAAACGAATATGATCTCCATCCACACCAGCATTTTATAGTTGATCTCTGGCTACATTAAAACGAGTGAAAACGCACATGTAGTGGCCATTCACATGCGTGTGCCGGTGTAAACGTGAAGCAGATGGTGTATTCCGTAGTTACAGAAGATTTGGTAAAAGAATAAAGTAATGTAAAAGAACAATCAGACCAATTTTTTTTTGCATTGTCCAATAAGGAGCTGGGACAGTTACTGAATGTAACAAGGGACTGTGGCGCTGGAAAACAGACCGGGAGTCGTCGCAAAGTAAACGGTAGGGATGGGACGCTCGATACTGACTTGTCGACGCTGTGTCAAGATACCGAAGCACAGATGTTTCGAAACACTGCTTCAAAGCGTGGTTCAAAACGTCAATGTCACGTGACCATAGTGAAGCCAGGCTTCAGTGCGTTTCAACAGGTGGCACACCTGCCGCTTCTACGCTTGATTCACAGTGTTTGGAACAAACCGCACATCAGCCTCTATCTCATTTGACAGATTTCTTCCAAGGACCCACAATCCTTTGATTTATTGGAGCAACGTGCTGTAGTATATTCGCACCTGTAGGCCAAAACATACTTTTTGCCAGCAACAAATGCTCCATGTCACCAAATTATTCCAAGGCTGGGGATGTCAATTATGAAAAAAAACCCAGACTCAGCCACAGCTGAATATTTCTGAATAAAATTCTTGACATATAACAAATGTGAGACATTACACCTCATCACTGCCAGCACTTACTAATAATTATTATTACACTAGGGCCTATATCTTATCTGCTAATTATCATTACACCTCTGTTAATAAGCTACTGTGTAATACTGTAGATATCCACATTTATTACTATGTTCTTAGATTTGTATACTTTATTATATTCTCTACTCACTATAACTTGCGAGTATCAGCAACAAAGAATTCACCCTCGTAGATCAATAAAGTATTTCGATTGTGAAAATGGATAGGGTAGTGGTTAAGACAAATGCCTTTAGTGTGAGAGATTCCCAATGTGATACATGTGTCCCTGAACAAGACACTTAACCCCTAGTTGCTCTCAAGGTGCGCCCTCTGACACAGCAATTGTGATTTGCTTTTGAGAAAAGCGTCAGCTAAATGAGTGATTACTTATTAAACAACACACAGATGTGTTTTATTAAAAAGATTTTATTGCAATCCCCATCTGCTGTCTCTGACAATCTGAAGGCATTTGTTTATTTGTTGTATGGTGATTTCTCCGAAATCGTCTTGGTCGTGTATTGATAAGACGTTTAGAATTGAAAACGCTAGTCAATCATTGTTTCAATGAAACCCCTACCAAGATGTGTCGATATCAAAAGTGACCAGTAGATGTCACCGTGGAGACGGGTGTCGGAGTGTTTCGAAGCCTCGACACAATTCCAGAACAATTGCTTCAAACGTTTCAGTGTTTCATAAAACCTCGCTTTGCCCATCACTAGTAAACAGCGCCAGGCACAGTATAAGTGTCGGCAGATAAGTATAAATATTTGCACGGTACAAAATATTTTAAGAAAAATACCCTGTCAAAAACTCTGAAGCATCCTGTTTCTACTTTGCATGACTTCTGATACCCAATCAGAGAGCCAAACGTGAGCGTCTGCATCATCGTTTCTGAAGTCCTCTGAACGCCCTCCGGAGTTTCAAAACGAAAAACGTGGTCGGCAGTTTTTTTCAAACTTCTCCGTTTTAGGTCTTTGTTTTTACCGTTTTAAGTCTGGACGGGAAGTGCAAAGGTAGCAAAGGTTCTCCGTTTTGAAACAAAAATGCTATAGTGTGGATTGGGCCTTGATTTTATCCATGATCCGCCTGATATTGCTGCGTTAGCAGTGTGTTGTCATGTAAGGCATTATTTAGACAATTTCACTGCAGCTGACTTCTCCTCGGAGATGTTGTTAAGAGAAGTTGGCTATGCACCTCCACCTATTTTAAGTGTCAAGAACAGACCTTCACCCTTGATTAGCTGCAGTTAGTAGTGGAAGCCTTACTTACCAAGGCTTCCACTCGGGAGGCAGAGGGGCAACGATGCCTTCCCTGGCCAGCCACAGGAGCTCCGGCTCACTGTCGGGATCAATGCCAATCTCTCTCGCGTACTCTTGGATCTCTGATGAGAGAAAGTGAGTGATATGAGACGGGCTGAAATGTAAAAGTAGTACATTATACAGCATCTAGTGGGTTTCACAGCTCAGTACGGCAAAGAGAGGCAGCCCCACAACAAAACATAATCAAGCTGTATGATGAAAGAGTTTGGGATGGGATAAAAACCCACTATATTGATATTGAATAAATAGTGTACATAAAGCTACTGCAGGGTTTCCATAAAGCTGGTATCAAGAAGGAACTATTATTATCATCAATATCAGTGTAAACCAATCAAGCTGAGGATTTCACATTTGCCACAAATGAGCTGCTAGTACATTTCATTTCATTTTACCTGTGGCTGTAACATTTTTATTTTGGGATAACGTAGGCACAGTGAGCCAGTCATATTCTTGCACAGGTTATTACCCTCAGCACTGTATACCTTGTTCAGAGGGTATATATGTCTCATCGTAGTCCTCTTCAAGGATCAGCTGGTCTCCTATGAGAGCAGCTGCAGTCATGGTTACTGCAGAGACGCAGGGTAAATGCCAAACCCGGATGACTGTAAGAAGAAAGGAAGATACACTATATGTAACACAGAGGCACACAACTAACGTTACACAGGGTTGCCCGTCTCCCTCGGCAGCCTGAGCTCTTCACTATGCTGTGCAAAATACGCCCTGCTTCCTGCGAGAACTACAATTTAACCATGCCATATTTTCAGCTAAGATTAACATATTAACTTCTTGAATCTAGCTATACTGTTTGACAAACAAAAGCCAGGGCGTATTATAAAGCACATTCTTGAGCCTTTGAGGAAATGTGCATCTGTAAAGCCACACCAGCAAATCGATAGATATAAAAAAATATCGTATATTCGTGGGACAGATATGAAAGGGGTGAGCTAAGCTACTTAAGCTAGCATCTCAGCTAACTTCAACGTTAGCTACCTGGGCGCCATCTAGCTACTTAAAGTTAGCTCAGCCTCATGAGAACAGCTAGTTCGTGATAAGCGGTTTACCTTCCAAACTTTACGTTTTCTCATTAGCCTCTCTGGCAGTATAGATTAGCTGTCAGTTGTTTGACACAGACATATTGTGTACGCAGAGGCGAGAAAAATGCGAAAGTTACAACACTAACAACATCTCCAAGGACGCTTCCCCCGTTTCCTGTTGTGGATGAAAACGTTGCTGCGATTGGCTGAGCCGCATGAGGCGTTCAGGCATCCTCGTAACCCCCCCCCCCCCCCAATTCGCCAATATGAACATACAGTACAGTGCTACGGTGTGGGTAACAGTGTCGTTGGTGGCTTTTGTGTTATTTTAAAATGCCATTTAGGGGATTTTAAAAAAAATAAATGTACCAATTTTAATGCATTAAAAATTCAGAGCTACATCTTACTTATGTGGAAAGACAACAATAACCCATGATGCAATGTGTACTATGAGATGTCTTACATTTGTTTTCCAGTTGAGCAGATATGTGCTTAATATTGTGTACTGTACCTGAAAGCGACAGTCGCTGTAAATCTCCAGCAATGATGTCAATGACTGAAATACCACTTTACAGCTGTTTTAATGAAAACAAGTGTGGGTGTGTGTGTTGTAGGGAATGAGCTCAAGGTGGCTCGAAGCAGTTGAGTAGGAGTGAGTTTAAGTGTTTTGCATATGTTACATTAAAGGATCCCTGTGGTGTGGCAAATTGCACTTGCTGTCCCCAAGACTCTCAGTCACAGCTGGGGGCTGCATTAACACTGTGTTGCTAAATGCAGCCTTTGTCCTATCCTGGAAGTCAGGGTGAGATATCAGATTGTTGACACTCTTCCCATGCAAATCATTGTTGGCTGTTGTCCGCAACCGAGTAAATTAGAATATGTTTCCCGTCCAGTATCTTGCAGAAGATTTTCAAAATATCATCTGGTGTTGTGCGCGCACAGAGCAGGGTTACAGCTTCAAACGAATAAACACTTCTTACTTTGACTTCTGTCCTGATAAATCTTTACTCAGGGTTCTAACCACAAGAGGGCAGGCGAGGGGAGGACTGATGCAACATAACTGGTTCACTTGACAAGCAGTCTTTAGTCCACCCCTCTGACAGGAGCTGTGGTAACGCACTGAATACAGAAAAATATTTTCACTGTCTGGTTTAATATGGCCCAATTGCAGTAAGTTTTCAAATATCTCCTACTTCTCAACACATATTTCCTCCCCTCTCACATTTTGGTTTGTCACTTATTAGAAATGCTTATTTTTGATGTTAGGTAGGCTACATTAAATCTAATAAACACATATTAATAATAATTATGGAACATTAGATAATAGGTACCAAAAAGTAATCCTTGACATGAATAGTATCAGGTAAAAACACTTTTCTTTCCATCCTATGTTTGTCATGGTGTGGGCGGTTAGATATCTAGAAACAGGGTGAATGACCTCTATATCTTGGGCAATGGTAGCTTTAGCATTACAAACAGGCCTTGAAACTCAGATGGTCAACTCAACACCTACGCTCCAAATGACATACACAGTCTTAACGTGAGATTGCGGTGTGCAGGCCTATTTCAATCTCAGCACCCCAAACATGTCATGCACTGTATGTTTCAGTTTGTGAAGGAGCTGCAATTTGTATACCCATGAAGTTTTGATGTTAAAATTTGTGTCAACTCATCCTCTTTCATTTATGATGGTGGTAGATGTTACAACTGTGTTGATGAACATGGGGTGGTGATGGTACAGTGGATTAGACGCATGCCTTTGGTGTGAAAGACCTGGGTTCAATTCCCCCTGCGACACGTAAACAAAAGTGTCTCCTAATTACTGCAGAGGCATGCGACCTCTGACATATGTGGCAATTGTAAGTCACTTTGGATAAAAGCATCAGCTAAATCAGTAAACCCAGCATGGGAAGCTTGTCCCCTGTCCCAGCCCTGTCCCTTTCATGAAACTTCATTTGAAATTGAGAAAAGCGATGCAACCAAGTTCATGTGTGCACCAGTAACTGATGGGTTAGATACCTTGCTTAAAAATCATAGTGGAAAAAGCATTAAAATAATGAATGTAGAAGTCATAATACATTTAAAATACTTGTGCATTCGGAATTTTTGTAAAAGCATTTAGCAGTAAGTGTACTTACCTGCATGTTAGATTAAATTTTTGTAATGCATTATCGTGAATGAGCTTTTCCATTGTTTTACATGTGAAATATGAATCTGCATATATAATAATATATCTGCATATTTATAGTTTGTATATCCAAAAGATAAATGTAGTGAAGTGAAGAAAGCTTATTTATCTGAAATGGAATAAAGTCTAAGTACCTCAAAATCCTCTTTTAACTCTACATAAAACTCTACCATGATTCATAATATTGCCTTTTCTTGCAGTGACCTTATTGACGCGACATCTAACAAAGATTTACACTAGATTGTGTGTATCTTTTTGATTGTTGATTTGTTATAGCATTTGCTGTTGCACCAGCCTTCAGAACTGTAGAGCTTCTGAACCAAGTAACATGTTCTTCTGATGTTGGCAGGCCCTAACATTTAACTGTGCACTTTAGTACACTGCATTATCTTTGGAACAGACTTAAGAGCAGTAAATGGCTACAGAGGCTCGTAAAAGGAGAAGATAATGTCCCCTATCACTAATCAGAACCTTCATTCTGCTCCTCCAATGATTTAGGTTATCTGAGTTCAGAGTGGATTTTCCTGCGTTGCTGTCAAGCTGTATAACCAACAGGGAGATGCAACCTACAGTGACACTCTGTGACCAGGGCTTTGGTCCAAATATCTGTATTAAAGCAGAAGCGACCTCAACAGATGTGACATTGCAAAACCATTTCAAGACAGTTAAGTAGACTTGGGTATAGCGATCTGAAATGGTGTGTGAAAAGAAAATGAGCAAGATCACCGCACTGTTGCTCACAGCTGAGATAACCTCCCCTGCTGGTTTGAGAACAGTGCTCCATCATGGAGGCAGCTGGAACAATGACGTGACCTCTGAACCTCAGCCAGGGCCTGATCAAATGGTGGATTTGCTGATTAAATATTTATCAGCTCCAGGCAATTACCCCACATCTGTCTGGCTGTTTGATGGTCACTGTAAAACTGGTTGTTGATCATGGACAAAGAAGTTCCTGTTTATTAGTAGCAATAAATCCCATCATATTTGTTTAGCTAGAAATCAGCTGGCCTTATGTAACTGTTGATGCTAAAAAAAATACACCAACTTCTTACTTTAAACACATTATAGTCTCTGTTTAGCAATGATATTGTCTTAAATTAAACCCAGATTATGTTTGCAATCCAGCTGGATCTTTGACCCAGTACCAAAGGCCTACACGCTACCTTTGTGATTTTGCCCAAAATAGTTGTCAGCCAGGAATTTCCTTAATTATGTTTGAAAATTTTTGCTCCATTTTAAATGTTTTTGTCATAATAATTTAGTGTTCAGATGCCTTTAGTATTCCTAAAATGCAACCTGAGCAATTTTCTAGTCAGCTGATGTTCCGAGTTTGTATTGATAATGGCAGTAATGTCGATAGATGGCTCCTTCTTGATGCTTAATCAGCGTGGTGCAAGCAGTCTCAAAGGTTGCTGGTCCAGATAAGAGCCATTCTTCTGACAAAGCCTGTTTCACTCCTGGTCTCTGAAGCTCTGAGCTCAGAGCAGCTGATACGCAGAACACTCTTATCGCACGGCCCAGGTCAAAAGCTCTAAAGACTACTGTACAATGACACCACGAGCTGGAGTAATGTGCTGTGTTCTGTTCAGCCTTTTATCCCTCGTGGTGTGCATAACAGAGGCCTGCAACTGATGATTATTTTCATTATTGATAATTTTTTTGATTGCTTGTTTAGTCTGAAAAATGCCCCTGACACTTTACCAGAGCCCAAGGTAGCATCTAGCAAGTTGCTTTAGTTCAGCCAACGGTTCAAAACTATGGGTTTCCTTGCTTGGCTACTCTACTTTGCTTGGCTAAATAAGGCACTCCTCAGGCAGAAATTCAGATATACTACCGGTCAACTACAAAGCTTCTATTCAAATTTCGAAATGGCTGCTGTATTTTCGCTAATTGGTGTCAGACAAAGGGGTAGCGTCAATGCCTAGCAGGCATTGATGTGGCTCGCGGAGGTGCCAACTCTGTCACCCATCTGCCTTCATGGCCTCATTAAGCTCAGCTTGGCTCCTGTTTGTAAAAACAGTGAATGAGTTTGGATTCAGCAGGTGAGATAAATGTAAACCCCACAGTGTGAAATGATAAAAAAAATTGAAAGACAAAGAAGGTTCAAATGTGATCTGCTTTTTAAAAATGCATAGAGCACTCACTGCAGACAAACACTGGCACAACCACAAAGTGAAACAGGAAATTTGTTTCGTGGTTTACACCTCTGAAAAATAGAAACCACCACACTAATGCTATGAAATCCGACAAAACAGTTACAGCAATAAATGAACGTTCAGCTTTTTCTTCAGACCATGCTAGTGAATACAAAAAAATACCGGCACATTTGTACCATAACAAGAGCATAATATGGCCAGTAGGGGACCATTTAACCATGTAAGTGTACTTTCTGAAAGTTTGAGGTACAATAGCATTCTTCCTGCATGCTGTATGGTAGTAAGCAACTATTACTATTATATATATTATATATATATATACTATTATTCCTATTTCCTTTAAATTATATCCACCCAATTCAGTAGTTAATGTCAAATACTGAACAGAGCACTTGTGTGACCTACCCCATTTACATACTAGGGGAAATCAAAAACACTGTTCAACATGCCAGCTACATCCTTACAATTGATCATTTAGTTCAGTCAACTCCAATATAATATTTATTGCAAGGCTATTCTCTCAGATTTCAAATTGTAGAGGGTTTGCTATTTTTTCCTTATTGACTGCTGCAAGAGAACTGTGTACTGAGGATATCTAACCACATCAATATGTTTTATTCGTTCTGGTGCGCTTGAACAAGCTGAGAGTATGGTCTCATCCATACCCTTCCCTTCCCTTGTCTTTAATGTTGTATATATAATGTATGTTAGTGTACATAATTTGAGCTCTTGCTGTTGTATCTTGCCACATGTTGCATAAGATATGAACTGGACATGTTGCAATGACTCAGAGCTGTAACTGACAGTCCTAGAATTTCAAAGCAATGGTATTCAGAGAAAAG